AAACGATAGAAGATATTATATAACAAAAACGCACAAATGTGCAAAGTACACAGCTCATGGCTGAATAATACAGCCAACAGCTGAATAAAACTGGGAGGACAGGTCTAAAAGACCGCCTAGAGACGACTAGCAACGCTAGAAAAGAAACTCACAATGACACAACACCTACGACCTAAATGCGGAACGACCTCAAACGAGGTAATGTGGAACGACCCCCAACGAGGTAATGTGGGACGACTCCAACGGAGTAATCCCTCCCACAGGGGTCAAGTGACCCAAACCTAAAATACAAGACAGACACAAACAGACTAATCCAAGCCAAAACACATATATAGATAACAAGAACACAAAACACAAAATTAAATAAACTAAAAGCCTAAACAAGGAACAAACTAAGCCCTTCCCCAGCAGAACATCGAGTTGAACCAGCGGATGAACCATCAATTTCAGGGAGAGATCCAAAAGCCCATGAACAGCCACCGAAACTGCCAACCGGCCTATACAAGCAGCCGAACCCGAACACCAAACCAATCCCCAAAACGACCCACCTCCAATCTCGAGGAACAGCAAACAGACTCCCCACACCAGCACCATCAGAAACACGTCTAACACCACTAGCCGAGCCCGGTAGCACCAAAGCACCTCGTTCCCAACACCAGAGAAAAACGAGGGGGTGGGAGCAATACAGTTCCTCGACTCCGACTACCCCGACATAAGGCGTCACAGCAGACGGATCCCAGCCCCACCCGCTGACCCGCACCTCCCCCAACACCATCCCTGCCACGCCAGCAACCAGAGATCCCAATCTCTCCGTAAGCCTCGCCGGAAAGGAGAAGGTCGACCGAGGAGACGCCTCTAAGCACGGACCAAAAGAATCAATAGTCATACCACCACCAATCACCATCCCTCCGATGACCAAGGGAGAACCACCAATCGCGGACCAGTTGGAGACCAAGGGGCAGACTATCGCTAAAAAACTCGCCGATGACCGAGGCCAGGACTTCAATTGCAGGTCGATAAGGACGAAATCGGGAGAGGGCGACATCAGGGATAAGCCGAGGAGTCAGAGGGGTCCTCTGGCCAGAGCCCGACGACGCTGAGGAAGGCAATCGACTCCAATTTTGAAGAGAAGCGCCGGCGAGAAAAGGGGATCGGGAAAATCGCGAGAGGGTTTTCTGAGGCGTACTATCGTTATATAAAGTGTTTTTAATACAATAATTTTTCCATAATAATTTATTTTTTGTATCAAGTTAATTATTTTATGATGATTTACATAAAAATATCATATTAACTATAAAAATATTATTTATTATTTATTTGTAAAAGCAAAGTTGTGTAAAAGCAAAGTTGATAGGTAAAATGAATCCAACATATACAAAAATAAAGTTGATAGATTATGTAGAGTTAGAAATATATGTAAAAATAAAGTTAATAGGTAAATGAATTCAATATATATAAAAGTAAAGTTGATAGGTAAAATGAATTAGCATAATTCCTATAAATAATTTACAAGTAAAGACAAAATAAAAGTATAACCCAGATAAATTTTTATTTCTCCACTGTTATATTACAGAAAGTATATTGTGTACACGTTTCTTTAGTAATAAATAGTTGCAAAATGTCTTTTTAAATGAGTAATAATTTAAAAGTAAAGACAAATAAAAGTATAACGAAGATAAATTTTATTTCTCCATTTAAGTAACCTCAGTAAAAATGAACTAATAAATATGAAATATTAACTTACATA